GGAGGAGGAGGAGCGGGCCCCCTGGGCGGTCTGCCTGCGCCTCCGGCGGCCGGCACGGCACGCTGGGCCGGAGAAGGGCCTTGCGGCAGGCTCTCGGAGGGGGGCCAGCAGCGTCGTGGGAGCTGGGCGCGCCGGGCACCCACCCGGTCGGCGAGTCGATTACCAGTTTGAAACACATCCCTATCCCTATGTTTGACATCACCTCACCTCGATGTCGATCTTAAGGATTCCCTCAGGTTCTGAGGGCCTATCCCTAAGATTGTCCTCGCTTTTTGCTCGTCCACCTTAGTGATATGGATACGTTCGAGGCTGGTTAATCGAGGGGGGGCGGAGGATCGAAGATGCCCACGGCGAATCACCGCCGCCCCTCGTGCCCGTCTGAGAAGTGGCGCTTCAGAGCTGCAGTCAAGGCAGAGCTCGCTCGACCTGGCCGGATGCCGACTCCCCGAAGTGTCGTCGAGGCAACCGGGGGGGCGCACGAGTACAGTGCTGTAGTGGTGCTACTCTGTGGCCCTTCTGCTCCTTACTGTGGGTCTCCTGGTGGGGCATTCTTGGTCCGTCTTTGGGCCTTATTTGGCCGTATTGGAGCGATCTTGGCCGTTAAGAGCTTTTCGATGCCATTTTGAGAGACTCTTGGACCATCTCGGGGCCCTCTTAGGCTGATCTGAGGCCCTCTGGAGCTTTCTGGGCCCGCGTGGGCGATCTTTGGCATGTCTTGGGCCGTCTTAGGGGATCTGTGGGGGACCTTCTATTCCATGTGGACCTTCTTGGGGCGATCTTGGAACATTCTTGGGCCGTCGTGGGTGTCCTGAAGCCAGAAAACGCAAGTGACAAATAAATAACAACCAACCTTGTTCCCAACCATCCTGTGGTGTTGGGTCTTCGTTTTGAAGAGACAGCGCCCCGCATCCCACCTTCCTCCTCTCCTCCTCCTCCCTCCTCCCCCATCCTTGCCTTTGCTCTCCGCATGTCTCAGCTCACCCCCTCCTCCCATCATCGTCATCATCATCATCATCATCATCATCATCATCATCATCATCATCACCACCACCACCATCACCATCACCATCACCATCACCATCACCATCACCATCATCGTCATCATCGGCATCGCCATGGCTGATTCGTTTCGTGGCCCCATAGGGAGCTCCACCGAAGGCCCCAGTGGGGGGGGGGCGCATGCGTCCCCCACGCTCAGGGCAGCGCTTCGTGGCCCCATAGGGAGCTCCACCGAAGGCACCAGTGGGGGGGGGGGGGGCACATGCGGTCCCCACGCCCAGCACAGCGTTTTGTGGCCCCATAGGGAGCTCCACCGAAGGCCCCAGTGGGGGATGGCCGCATGCGTCCCCCACGCTCAGGGCAGCGTTTCGTGGCCCAATAGGGAGCTCCACCGAAGGCCCCAATGGGGGGGGCCGCATGCGTCCCCCACGCCCAGCACAGCGTATGATGGCCCCATAGGGAGCTCCACCGGAGGCCCCAGTGGGGAAACCCGCGTGCGTCCCCCACGCCCAGCACAGCGCTTCGTGGCCCGATAGGGAGCTCCACCGAAGGCCCCAGTGGGGGTGCCCGCATGCGTCCCCCACGCCCAGGACAGCGCTTCGTGGCCCCATAGGGAGCTCCACCGGAGGTTCCAGGTCTACCGTCCGCATGCGTCCCCCCCCACACACACAGACACACACACACACACACAGACACACACACACACACAGACACACACACACACACACACACACACACACACACACAGTATACATTGTTTCGTGGCCCTCCTCCCCCTCCTCCCTGCGTTTCACCCACCCAGTACAGCGCTTCGTG